AACAACAACATTGCTCATTAATCCCAGAACAATTGGCTCTACATATGGGTTAGGAACCAGTTAACTTTCCCAGACAAAAACTCTTCCCCAAAGCACATTAAGCCTGGAAGCATTTGCTTTCTTTTGTTTTCTTTTCCTTTTTAATTAACTGGCTAACGCCCTCTGCAAAGATCTCAACCTGGAAATGATTTCTATGACCCTCCTGGCTGAGGGGTCCCTCTGCACCAGTGTCTGCAATGCTGGCTGCTTCAAGTACACAGAGAGGGTCAGCTAAAAGTGGGGGCCATTCCCACCATCCTGAAGACACCCTGAACTGGATGCAATCAACTTGGAAAATGCCCCCGTCAGGGGCCTGAGATGCTCAGATGACTGTGCTACTCACCATGGTCGAGGAGATACTTGACTATCTCCCCACTGCCGGTCTTAGCTGCGTAGTGAAGGAGTGAACAGTGGTCTGGTCCCTGAATTAGCAGGCTGCCTCCATTTTTATAGCTTTCTATTAGCTGAAAAGGAGACAGAAGAAAAGTTTAGGCAACATCCAGAATAAGAAAAACAGCTGACCTGTGGTAAAACAGGTGTTTTACCCTGTAAGTTTCCCCCCTCAGAAGACTCAGAGAAAAGCCAAGGGGATGAAGCGGCTTTGCTGGGTTATCAGTCTGCAAGATGGCCAGGCACACCCAGCACTGGAGAAGTGTGTGCCTGCAGAACAGCCTAAGGAAATAGAGGCCCTCGAATTACTTATTTCTTTTATGTCTTTTTCTTTCTTTTCTTTCTTTTTTTTTGCTGGGCTCTGGTCTCTGTCCCAAAGGATTGAAGGATGGGGTTGGGAGGGGGTGGAAAGAAGAACTAAAGCTTCCCTGTGTTTGCACTTATTTGAGAGAGAAGAATAAGGCTACAGGCAGGGACAGCTTAGTGTCTGCTGGGCAAACTCCTTCTCTGTCCTTTACTTTTTCTTCAGTCTCTATGAGCCTAACTAACTACTAAACATAGATGCTGCTTTTCTTTCCCTGGTGAGCTTCCTGCACACACATACTGCACACATGGAAGCGCACACACGGCTCTCCTCTCAGCAGTTCGGAGCCCAGGCTGGTGCCTTCTGTGCCTCATCTGACACATGCCTGACAAGGTCAGAAATTGTCTGTGGGACGGGAACCAGAGGACCCAGAGAATACAATAGGAGAAACCTAAACTCTGAGAACAGACTGGAAAACAAACCAATTGTGCAGCCTAACAGTAAGTTGGCTATGTGAAGATGTGGCCTATGTTCATGAAATACTGAGGGTCATAGAAAGAATAAGTGGGTCCCAGTTCTCCAAATTGCAGAATAGCAGAGGAGATGAGCCTTGCAGGCCCTTCTAAGAAGTAGTGGTAGGGCAAGGATGAATCAAATAGCCCAAGAGGGAATAACCAAAAGCAGTGTGTTTATCATCAAGAAGGTAGATGGCATCACGTTACCAAGAAATAATAAACGTCCCACTCGGTCGAAGTGAGGGAACTCATAGGCCAAGCTGTCCCACTAACACAACCCCAGAACAACCAAGTGCTGGGTGCCAGGAGACAAAGAGGAATCCGACCCAGTCGCTGGCCTCAATGACCCCGCAGTCCATGGAGGACAGAGATGAGTGAAGATGTGCACAGTAATGGAGAGGGGATGAGACCCTCCTCAGGGACAAAGGGGAGCATATGCAAGGCCAAACAAGTGCCAGAGAGGACTTCCTAGGGGAGGGCGACGGAGGACAGGAATACAGCTAGTACAACTGGACTCCCGCCCCTCACCCTGGAGGCAAGAGGACAGGAAGAAATAGCACAGCCGCTAGTCGCCTCCCGTAAGAATCTAAGAGTCCTATTGTGCTGACCTGCCTTATTTCATGATGCTATTCCCTTTTCCTAGTGGGTAGGTCCACAGAGGATTTGGGTTCAGACCCAAGCCACCAGCAGCCTTGATGCTGCTGCATGTTTTTCAGCCCCAGGCACATTTTGTTAGTCTGTGGGCACCTCATGCAGTCCAGCTGTATGGGAGCTGTTCTGGCAGCCTTCACACCAGGGCCCCTGGGCCTCTGTTCACTGCTCAACTGCTTGCACATGTGTGCACGCATGTTCACATTCGCCCTCCCTTACACACACACACACACACACACACACAACCAAAAAAATTAATACTTAATCTCAACTGTGCTGTCTCTATGAAAAAGGGAGAAGAGAGATAAAAGTAAGAAGGAAAAGGAAAAGAAAGCATTAAAAAAAATCCCAAGTCTCTATATTTCATTTCTCAGTAAATAACATTTTAAGACATTCATTGGCCATCTAGGATGTAATTATAACTCCAGCTGTAATAATATATATAGACGGATACAGTGATTTCCTGTCTCATAAAAAATTTTTCTATCCATGTACCCAAAAATGTGTGATAATACACCCAGGAATTTGAAAAATCTGCTACTGAGAATAATAAAGGTGTACACAAAATAAAATGAATAGGCTTCAGGGCCCTCCCTGGTGGCTCAATGAGTTAAAGCGCAGCACTGCGAAGCTATCACCAGCTGCTTTGGCACGAGTTCGATCCCTGGCCAGGGAGCTGACCCATACAGTGCAGCAGACCTCTCCTGTCTCCCTGCTGCTCCCCTCAGCAGTGGATTTCAGTAGATCTGCCGGTTCTGCTCCCCATTTGGTATCTGGTGAATCCTCTCACTGCCTCCGCACCTCTAGGCTGTACCCCAGCTCTGTATGCATGAATAAATAAATCTTTAAAAAAAATGAATAGGTTTCAAATGTACAGTAGTTTATAGAATTTGCTGACTTAGAAGCTAACAAGACAGGGATCAAGCCTTACGCAGAACCTCGTGGAGATGGGAGAGGGGATGTAAAGTGTGTCAGCGTAGGGCAACAGGAGAGTGCTGGCTTAACTGACTGCAGGGAGACGGTGTTGCACTCACAGCTACACTGCTCAACACTGACCTGGACAGGGCGAGGACCTTACATGTGTAAAGATAGCTTACGAGGTGTTTGCCATCCTCTCGCTTTCTGCTAGTAACCTGTTAAACGCGTACCACAGAGTCTCACAGCTAATTCAACAGATGTGTTTCAAAAAAAGTTGTGTGTTAAGGCAGTGCTTCCAGATTTCTTTCTTTCTTTTTCCCTTTGGCAAATTCTTGTTAAGGGCATTCAGGTGTTACGTTAGCAATTTTTTTTTATATATAATAGTTTATTTTTCCATCATTTTGTGCCTTTTTCCATCTCAGTTGTCATCCCCATGGGCTTCCCATCACCATATCACCGGCATGCCATCACCATAGCCCAGTGCACTTCCCCCTCACATTTTTGACCCTATTCCCCACTCCAACCCTGTAAAATGTCTCTGGTATACAGACAGTTGTTCAGTATTATAATTTTCCCCCCCGGTCCTTTATGATCCTGCTGCTGAGTGAAACCATCCGGTATTTTCCTGGCTTACTTCACTAACCACCTTTCTTTGTTCCATCTACAATGGCACCAACCTCTCTAGTCAGATGAGGGAGAAACACTGCTCTGGCCAGCTGCTGCGGCTGCTCCAGGAGCAGACGCCACAATGACATGGACCCAATGAGCTTGCAGAAAACTCAGACTGTATTATATTTTATGACAGCATCTGATTGTCCAGTCTGGTTAGCTGTTTAAAGAGAAAACAAACTAACACTCTAATAACATTAACAAAATAGCTAACGCTGTAGAGTCTCAATAATACAAATAGTCTCAAGGGCTTTAACTGCATTACTACAGTAACTCATCACAACAAAGCGAGAGGCAGCAGCGTCTCCCATTTTACAGAGGAGGAAACTGAGGCACAGAGAGAATTAAATTATTACATAAAATCACACAGTCAATGCAGAGCCAAGATTTGAACACAGGCCATCCGGTTTCCGAATTTATATTCCCTCTAGAGGTGGCAGTGACCGCTTTCTGCTCTCTGATCTCCATCTACCAAAAACCCTAAACACAAGGTGGATCAGAAGAGTGTCTTGGTTTGTTTAATTGTGACCCCCATGCTGCAAACTGTATCAGATTGAAGGTACAGGTTCTGGTGCAGAGACTGCATTTCTGGATGTTGGCCAGGTAATTCATACAGGTGCATTCGCTTCAAGCTTGGATCTGAACAGCAATCTTTAAATGCCAAATTTGGCTTCTAGTGGGCAGGAATTCTGGGCATGTATGGTCCATCTCAGGGACAGGGCAAGGGGCAAGGCGAGTAGCCTGGTGCCCTTGTACGCAGCCTCCGCTGCAGAGTGTAGAGATGCTGGAAGACTCTTCTCACCCTCCCTAATCCTTAAAGAGCACCCTTCCACTTCCCACTTGACCGGCACAGGCAGGGGGATGGTAATGACATTTGGGATCATGGACATTTGGTGAGAAATGGCGATGATTTAAAGTTATTAAAGCATCACCAAAAGTTGGGGTAGGAAGATAGCTTACCTTCATAAGGTCACCAGTTATTACTGCCTGCAAAATTGCTGTGAAAGACAAAAGAGAGATGTCCCATTAGTAGAAGACCCTCTCATGAAAATACTACAAAGAGCTGGATCTATTTTATGAAGAAAGCATCTACATTTGGGGCAGGGAGCAGGAAAGGAGAAGCATGCCAAATATTGATTCTTGACACTGACTAAGTCCTCCTCTCCGGCCTCTCCTGTGCCAGTCTCTATTCCACCCATCAGCTGGAGCCTACCTGAGTCCTTCAGTCCCTGGTGGAGCAAAGAGAGAGTTGGGCTCATACAGGTTGGGTTCCCTCTTAGCTCTGACATTTATAAGCCATGGAGCATGGCTAACACTCACCTTTCTGGCCTCAGTTTCCACATTTGTAAAACATAAGTCATGATCTTACAGGATTATTGAACATATTCATTGAGTCGCAGAAATGATGCAAACTCATCAAGTGATGCAGACTAAGTATATGAATGTGACATTTCACGCCCTTTTAATAGTTCCTTCTACTTTGTCCTCTTGGTGGTCAGGAAATTACCAGTCATTGTGTGTGTGTGTGTGTGTATTTTAATAGTAAATAAAAAAATTATCTATTGCTTTGGTTATCAAGAGAAACAGAGTCAAGAAAGAAAAAAGTGTATTTCAATTATATTCTGAATAAACTATGCAGTTAGCATTGACTTCACTGGTGATTCTTATGGGAAGAATTCTGTAAGTCCCAAGTAATTTAAACTCCCTATAATAACACATCATTTTAGGATAAATAAATGCCTAATGTTATGTGCGTGTCACAGGGTATAGAGGGGAATGAAAAATATGAGAGCCTAAGGCAACAGAAACAAAAATAAACAAGGCGGCTACATCGAAAGAGAAAGCTTCTGTACAGCAAAGGAATCCATGAACAAAATGAAAAGGCAATTCATTAGATGGGAGAAAATCTGCAAATCATTTCTATCATAATGAGTCACTATCCAAAATATAGGGAGAGGTCACATACCCCAACAGCATAAAGCTGGACAATTAAAAAAATGGGCAGAGAATCTGAATAGACATTTTTCCCAAAAAGACATGGAGATGGCCACCAGGTTATGAAAAAATAAACAGCAGCCCTGATCACCAGGGAAATACAGACCAACACCGTAATGAGCTACCACCTCACACCTTCTAGCATGGAAAGAGGGCGAACCCTGTGCACTGCTGGTCGGACTGTAAATGAATATGGTTACTATGGCAAACCGTATGGCAGGGCCCCCAGAAGTTCAGAAGAACCACCAGATGCCCCAGGAATCCCCTCCTGGGAATCTTTCCAAAGGAAATAAAAACATTAGCAAAAAAATATAAATGCCCCATGCCCACTATAGCAATATTGACCCTATCCAGGCACAGAAGTGACCTGAGAGCCTATCAGAGGATGGATGGACAAAGAAAGTGATTACACACATCAGAGGAATATTATTCAGTCATAAAACAGGACATTCTGCTATTTGCAACAATGTAAATGAAACTTCAGAGCATCACACTAAGTGAAATGAGTCAGATAAAGACAAACAGCATGTGACCTCACTTATGCGTGGAATTTACCACAACAACAGAAACCAGCATCATCCATAAAGGGACAGATTGCTTGCTGCCAATGGAGGGGGTGGGGAGTGAGTGGGTGACAGGGGTCAAAAGGTACAAACCTCCAGTTTCCAAATAAATGTGCTGGGGATGACATGATCGGCATAGGGACTACAGGGAATAGCCTGCATTTTATGTCAGAAAATTTCTAAAAGAGTTGATCTGAAAAGTCCTCATCCTGGCCCTCTCTGGTGGTGCAACAGATTAAAGCACTGCATTATGAAACTCTCTGAACCCACTGCAGCAAGAGTTTGATTCCCAGTCAGGGAGGTGACCCACATGCGTCTCCCTGCTGCTCCCCTCAGCAGTGTACTTTGGCAGTCTGTCTGTTCTGCTCCCCACTCTATCTCTGGTGAATCCTCTCACTGCCCCTGCACCTCTGGGCTGTACCCCAGTTATGTAAGCATAATAAATAAATATTAAAAACAATGTGCCAACTTGGTGACAATGTGCCTCAGAGGTGACCATACAGCAACACAGACACATGTCAACGCGTCATGTTGTACCCCTGAAAATCACAGGCTACATGCCAATTATTTCTTAATTAAAGATAGGTTAGAAAAAAGCCGTTAGAAAAAAACCTTGATTCTAAAAATACCAACAACAAATAGATTGGTTTTAGGCTTTGTTACAAAATTCTAGAAAAAAATTTATTTAAATTTATTTTTCAAAGTTTCCTTTATTCTTGTGTGAGTTAAGTACATGAAAAAGACATACGGACATTCCAGAAAGAGCCTGGCAATAGGAGTACAACTGGGGTGTGAACCCCGGGAGATATGGGGCTCTTGGGTGGCGTCTACCAGGAGACACAGGGATGAAGGCACCGATGGTGGGGGGGGAGGGGGGGGATATTGCAGCTCAGCTTGGAAAGCCCCCATCAGAGGAAGGCGAGGGAGAGGCAGTGGGGTGCAGATTTGGGGGAATAAGTCAGTTGGATTTTGACACTGTGAGATGTTCTCGTGACTGAAGCAAGTGTCCGTGTTGGGGAAGAAACGAGGCTGGGAAACTGCAGGTGGCTGCTTAATGCAGAACCCTGGAACTCACACACAGACGTTCGGAACAGCAGAGAGCCAATGTGTTCAAAAGCATGTTGAAACATTTTCCAGAAATGGAAAGAAAAAAGATAGGAAAATAGGGGATCAAGAGGAGAGAGAGAAAAAGGAATTCATTAACCAAAGTAACTGTGCAATGAAATTTGGTACATATCAGCATTAAATCAATAATGTGATCGTCTTTCCCCAAACAGCCATTTTAAGGAGCACTATGAATGGGAAGGAAGGAGAGGGAGGGAAAGAGAAAGGGAGGGTGGAGGGAGGGAAGGGTTATTGGCTAACCGTGGCATTCACAGAAGCCTTCTTGGAAGAGGTGAGATTTTAGCTGACTCATAGATGACACACAGAATTACTTAGCAAAGGTTTGGAAAATCCTTACAAGATGAAGGGAAGCTGTGAATAGAGACCAGGAGTTACAATGTGCCGAAAGGGAACCTACAAAGAACCCCACATTCTCTCCTGTCATTGCTGCAGAATTCCCCGGGGTCCACACCATTGAGGCCTCTCATGGCAAGACAGGATGCTCGGATTTTATCCCAGGTGATGTGAGGCTACTGAAGGGTAAACGGGGCACACGAGTGTCCCTAAGCATGTCGGTTAGATTCTGCTGCTCTCCAGAAATAAAGTATGACCTGCTCTCAGCTTTTCGCCAGATTCCCCATCTTACAATCTCCTCCCATTTCCATCTCAAACTTACCCACAAGCATTATTATTTATAGATTTTTGGCTTCCAACAGCCTCCTAATTTAAAGTCCTTGTGAACAGCTATAAGATCATATAACAGAATCATAACCACAAATAATTTCCAACAGTCTGAAGGTGGAAAGCATGAATATTTACTTTTAAGCCAAGCAACACACTCAAGGGGAACTATTAAGTGAACATTATTAGGCACGATGCCCACTTCTCTCTCCTGATTAATGTCCTTCCCTATAAATGCTGTTGTTTAAGATTCCTTTGCAGAACGAGCTTGGATCCATCAGTATTCAACTCCAGTCAATAACCTTGAGAAAGATCACGCTTAAGAACAAATAATGAGTTGTTATGATGACAGGATCGTTCTTTATTATTCCTTGAGCTCTGTATTTACTTCCTTGCCTTTTCCAAAACTCCTTCATGCTCAGGAAAACAATGTTCTCAAGTTCAAAAAAGAAAGGGAAACCCAAGTGTCAAGAGAACAAAAAGTTTTGCATAGATGCACAACTTCCTGGACAATTAAATCACATAAACTTAGGTCGTTAGACCGGAAGTAGCGGTAGAGAGCTGACAGGTTTGCCACTCTTAAGAGGCTACAGGCTGAATCGTTAGTGCACCCGAAGTGTTTATTTTCCCTCCAATGCTTCGGGCATTCCCTTCGATGCCCTCCAATAAAGTTCTATGCAGTGA